TCCCAGCCTCCATCGCGAGTATTGAAGCAATCCTATTTCTCCTCAATTTCCTAGGGTCTCGGACGCCTCGAGTTCGATACGCTACGATGTATCTCGACATACTTCAACAATCATAAATTAAATAATTAAAGTATATAATTCCAATTTAAAGTAAATTTAAAATAAATTCTAATTTAAATAAACTTAACAAATTAATCCAAATTTACCAAATTAAATTTAAAATAACTATTAGTTAACCTAAAAATAAAATTAAAAATGTAACAAATTATTATTGTATAAGTTAATCTAAATATTCTTTTATCTAAAAAAAATAGTTAAAGGAGGATATTACTACTATATATTGTATTTTAGTTTTCTTTAATCTAATTTAATATTTTAGATAAAAAAAATTAGTTCACTTAGTAAAATATTTCTATTATTGTGTTTTGGTTAACTTTAATAAAATTTAATATTTTATAGAATTTTGATTTATTTATTTGATTTGTAATTATTTTTAAAATATTTTTTAATATTTTTTTGTTATCTTTAATATAATTTAATCTTTTACATAAATTCATTTAATACTAATTCAAATTAACATTGATTAATCAATAATAACATACTTATTCATTTAAAACATAATTAATCAAATTAATCTACCATAATTAGCACTAATTCAGCATTAATTAATTAAATTAATAAATTCAAATTAACATAATTAATTTAAACCTAATTTAAATAAACCTATTTATTCAACTACCAACTAATTTAAATTAACCCTAATTTTAATTCAAATTAACATAATATAATTCACCATAATAAATTTAATTTAATTTAATTTATCAACTAAGAACTATTTTAAATTAAACCTAATTAACCCTAATTAACTTAATACAATTCACCCTAATTAAATTAACCTAATTAATCAACTCATAACTAATTTATATTAACCCTAATTGAAAATAACCTAACTCAATTAACACTAATTTGGATTAATTAATTTAATTAACATAAAAATCCTAACAATTAACAAAAGAAAAAATTTAACTAATTAATTAAAACTAACCAAACAATTAATACAAATAGCTAATGAGAATGAAGAGAGAGAGAGAGAGAGAGAGAGAGAACTAACAATGGGGGAGGCAAAGGAAAGAATTGAATGGGTGAAACACTCTATTTTTTGGGGAGAGAGGAGTGTTGCGTCGATCGGAGGATGCTGGGGAGGGAGTTGCATCACCTTGAGTGGTCAATTGGGGTTGGGCAATCGAGGTCAGCAAGAGAAAGAGAGGAGGTGAGGGAAAGAGAAAAATGGAAATGGAGCAGAAGAAGAGTTTTTACTTATTTAGTGATTAAAAATTAGCGACGAACATGATTTCATCGCTAATCCCTTAGTTAAACCACTCGTTTTATTTTATGATATGTACATAAATGAAGCAAAGTTAATAGTAGAATTCTATCGCTAATCCATCACTAAGTTGTTAGGGATTTTATTCTCCGTCGCTAATCCCTCGATACTTAGAGATGGATTTTCATGTCCATTGCTAACTCAAATGTAAATCCATCATTTTATTTTCTAAACGTTTTAGAGTTCGAACAAAGTAGAGAGTCAGCAACGGAATACTAAAATCCATCGCTATGCCATTGCTAAGTAGAGATGGATTTATGATTCCATCGCTAATTTAATTAGAAATGTGAATTAGCGATGAAATTGATATCCCATCGCTAATATCTCTTACAAATCCATCTCTATTTCGTTGTTAGTGTAAGCACATTTTTTTCCTAAGGAAAGTTGGCAACTGAACTCTATCTATCACCAATAATTTCAATGCAATTTCATTTCAAAACATATTTGTTGCAATTCCATTGCAAAACCATCAAAAATTAGAAATAGTAGACTATTCGTTGCTAATTTTTGTGGCTAATCAGTAGTTTTTTTTTTGTAGTGCTTGTTACAACTTAACATGCTTGCTTGTCTTGTGATAATTCACGAGATATAGTTGATGATGTTTTTCTTTTTGGCCATTCATCTGCCAAATTCTCACATGCTGAGATTCTTCATCATTCTGTCCTGTTCTACTAGAATTCTTTTATTTGTTAATCAGTCTCCATATCCAACTTGTTTGACTTTTAATCCCATCATGTGTCTGAGTTATTATAACGAGCATGGATAAGGGGAAATATTGAAAAAATAATATGAAAAAAATAAAACAAAACGAATTAGAGGAAGTTTTAATTTGTGCATAGCTGAAGGAATTAAAAATATTTCTTTTTTTGAAAAAAAAAAAAAAGAGATCTACTAATTAAGGTGTTGTTTTGTATCATTTGCCTTGCTTTAAGTTTGCTATTTTTTTTTTTTTAATTTGAAAAAAAAAATTGAATCTGTTTGTTTATGGCTTTGTTTTCAGAAAAGTAAAATTTAGAGGAAGATCAACATTTCCTCAAATGACGGAACTTGGTTCCTAATAAGAAAAATCAAGCCAATAAAATTTTTATTTTAATGAGTCTTCGATAGGTTCTTTTGCCAGTAATATTTCTTAAATCTAACAAATATATAATAAAATATTTAAGTTGTTCCGAGTTGAGAGAAATAATACAAAGAAAAAAATACAAAAGATACTCTTATTACGGTACAACTCTAAGCAATAATATTGTATTGTATTTTACATGTAAGATTTTGTACAATATACAAAATATCATATTGTCCTCTCTATATATATAGGAAAAGTAGCAACTAAATATGGTAGATAATTTTATTATTATTATTCAGAGGTCCATGTGCTTTTGATTTACATAATGAACAATGAAAGATTGTCATCTCATATTACATAATTATATATATATATATATATAAATTAATAGAACTCGAATCTTATTTTACTAAATAAGTTAATTGGATACATTATTGCTAGACTAAATCATTTTTTGTAAAATAGGTAAAATTAATGTGTACAGAAAAGAAATCCAAGCAATTGAATCTAGCTCATGTCTGAAATTAGGATAATGTGGAAGAGCAAATTAGTTGTTTGAAAAAAATAAAAGTTTTAAGATAAAGAACGAGAATAAATGTTTTCCTTTTCTACTTGACTGCATATGTACACAAATGTTTGATAATAAGAAAAGACGAGAATATAAGCATAATGCAATACCCATCGAAAAAAATAAGGAAAGCCATATTAATTTTGGTTGGGATTGTGCAACAGATAATTTGATTCTATAATGGATTTTTCACCAAAATGCTCTTTGACAAATCAACAAAAGTACGATGATATATTTAATATCATTAAGGAATAGGAAAATAATTAAAGAAGAGATTATATATTAATATCATGAAATTAAAATACATTTATATATAAAGGGTATCGTATAACAAAAGCTTTTCAAAAATTGAGAAATAATTAAAGAAGGAAGACATAACATCATTCATGACATGATTTTTCAATTTGAAAAGATATATATATATATATATATATATATATATATATATGAGCTTTTTAAATTTTTCTATTTGGATGTCCTTATTTTTATATTTTTTTTATTGGAATATATGGATTTTTAAATTTTTTTTAATCAAGTGCTTTTGTTAAATTTTGTTAAATACATAAGCTAATGAAGTCATTAATTGACACACGGCAAACATTTATGTCAAATATATAAATATGGACATTTTTTTCTATTTGAGCTTATCTATTTTTATTTTTTGTTATTTAAGTGCATGTAGTTTTAGTTTAGTTATTTCTATTTGAATAGCAATTTTTATTTTTACTATTTAAGTATATGTAATAATTTAAAAAATTTATCAATTGAGTGTCTTTAATTTCAAAAGCTAAACCAATCCCGAAACCTCCATAATTCACCTAAAATCAAACCTTAATTCATCGACCTACAATTCTAAACTTTAAAACTAATCTTTTCCACCTTTTTCTCATCTTTTCTAGCCAAAATCAAGCCTTATCCGGCAGCCTCCATAAAACCCACCACTTTTTCTCTATTTTTCTTTCATTTTTTGGACACCCACCTTCTCAAACACCCTTTAAGCATTAAAACCTAAACTTAACAGCACAGGCCCATCACCTAAAAATCACACCAAAACTCTAATATACATTATACATGTGATTTGCATATGTTAATTCATCCGAGGGGTATTTTTTATATAAAATCAATCATGTTAATTAGAGGTCTGGGCACCTCTAATTTGGATATCCTCAATTTTCCTGAAGTTTACATAGATTCAGATTTAATCCAAAGGCCCTTCTATTGCCATAACTGAAATACATTTAAAAAACAAAAAGAAATATCTTCGCTAGCCTTCAAAGCCTTAGTCCTCTCTCTCGCCCTCCTCCCCTGTTATTTTCTTTTTTTCCTTTTAAACAAAAAGGAAAATAAAGGGTGAAAGAAAAACCAAATAAATTTTGATTTATGAGATTGATGAAGAAGCAACACGATTTGGAGTGTCATATATAAAAGCATATAGATTATTAAGGAAACGTTAGTTACATGGCAGAGAACCATTAATTGGCTTTAGAGATTGTGAAATCAATAATTGTTTTGGGATAGAAATACACCCATGCACCCTTGGATCAATTTTTATTGAAGTATCAAAAATCAGAACTCGAGGAAAATTGATGAATCTATAACTGAGGGGAGGCAAATAAAATATATTTTCAACAGCAGCATTAATTAACATTATGCTACTTGTCAATATATATTTTCATTTGGAATTTATAACTGGAGTTGTTATTTTTCATTTATAAAAATCCTTTTATTTCTGTAGTAACCAAGCACCAGCTGGGGTGATAATACGCGGTTTGGATATCATCACAAATGGCATATCCCAACAGGGTAAGATTTTTGTTCCTTACATCCTGAAGGGCATATGTGAATTTGTATTCTACTTTTTGTAATACTCGAGGGGAATTTGTTTGTGTCTCTTTCCCAAAAAAAAAACCAAACTAGACTAGTCTTCAATCCTTGGAACAGCTTCAAGTTATAAAACATATTGAACACATCGATTCATACATTTACTAAACATCCAATCCTGCAGTGTATCTCACTCCCGTTGACGGCAACCACAAGTTGCCTTCAATGAACTGGGCCACTGTAAAATTACTAGCCTGTGTGGAATCGTTCAATATATGATATCCAGGCCACTTAACCCTCCTACCTAGCCAAGCTCCTGGTCCGTAGTTCATGTATTCACCGTAGTATAGAGTATCCAAATACACGCTGCCATTCCACTCTAGCCATCCTTCTGGCCTTATGGCATTGCTCATGTAGGATTGCATGATTATGGTTCTTGAAAAATTTTTCCAGGGCCTGCCAATGTAAGTGTAGGTGGAGTTGACATAAGGCAAGAGATCCATATCCGCGGAGATGTTACAAAATTGGATGGAGTAGCCCGTTGGTTGACTTGGGTCTTTGCGACCATGAGCTGTTACTGTGTTCTTTTGGTTTGGCAGGCCTTTCCTGGCTAGAATCTGGCAGTTTTGGAACACTGCAGTTGCATCGCCAAAAATGAAATCTACCGTCCCACTAATACGGCATTCCCGGTAGAATTGACGCATTGTATGTGTATAGAGTGAATCTTGGTAGCTCTTAATTTCACACCGGAAGAAGACTGATAGGTCTGAATCAGATCGGAGAGCAACTGCTTGGTGTTTTGCAGGTCCTGCAGTGTTCTCAAAAGTGATATCTCGAGCTATGAATCCTCTGCCGCTGACCGCTGCAGACAGGAAAAAAAATTAATGTTGTTGTTGTTGTTGTAGGATTAGTAACTGATTACCGGAACTTTTTCGAGGATTCTACTGATACTTGAGATAATTTAGGAACACAAAAATATATAGCAAAACAGAAGTGCTACAGCATATTCAAATCAGATTCTTAATTGACATAATGATCAGGCATATATAGTGCACCTATGCAATCATCAAAGACAAATATAGGGAAATTCTTCAAATTTCTGTATGGATGAATCTAATAGACAAGAGTTGTTGTTTATGCTAGAATCAACCCAGTGCCTGTATAATTAAATGAATCTAATTTTGCATTATTAAAATTGATAGTCATACTTTGTGGTGTCATGTGTCAGGGTAACATGAAGGCATAAATATTGAAATACTTCAAATTAATCAAAACAGTCTGAAACGAGGAAAATGACAAGCAGATCATCTCACTTTTCAGGTCAGAGGATCTCATTCTTGATGATGTATTATTATAGAATGCGATAAAATCCAAATTAAAACCATTTTATTCATAGACAAAATTAAGCAAACCAACAAAATTGATAGTTCCAACTTCCAAGTAGGAACGCTTACCAAAGGTTGCAGAGTGAAATGTGGTCCAACCATCGACATAATTCCTGTTACCGGTAATGATTGTAGCATTCATACCCTCTCCAACCATCATCAAATTCCATTTTTTCTTCTTGATGTCCACGTATTCATTGTAAACACCTTTCTTAATGTAAATGATGTACCTGTGCATGCTATAATCAGGTGCAGCTGCGACTGCATCCATTATCTTAGTGAAATTCCCAGTCCCATCTGCTGCTACAATTACATTAGGTGTGACCCCATTTAATACCAACAATTTGCGGTCCTCATGCTTAACCCACGAAGGAAATTGGTCACCATTGCCACTTTTGCTACCACTAAAGCCACTTCCATTGGACTTGGAATTGGTACGTGGGTCCACATTATTGAGAAGTTCTTGGACTGAAGAACTGATTTGATTAAGGCCCCCTGCGACCAGACCTTTGAGAATGTTGCTTGTACCATCAAATCCTTCGATGCATGTGCCCTGGTTAACAAGTGCAGCACTTAACCATGTCCTTAAATCAGAACTCAAATCACCAGTGCTGTTATGTTTACCTGCAAATATAATGGAAATGATAATTACACCAAATAAAAGAAGAGAATGAGGTCCTCTGTATCTTACATGGCAAAACAGAGATTTGATGGATGTTAAATAGAATAGCAACCTAATCACTCTCTTAGCATTGTATGATACAGCATAAGAGAAAAAGCAAACTCGAGATTGAATGCAAAGAAGAGATGTATTAGCTTACCCTTAGGATTCTGGGAAGCAGACATGGTCCAGCTCAACTCATCAACAGAGAAGTCAAGTAAGTCAAGACAATCAGTAATGGCATTGGTAAGGCGACGATCACCAAAAAAATTGCCAAAATTTGAGATTATAGAGGTCACATCTTGTATTATATCAAGAGTGGTCTTCAAAGAGCCCACAAATTGACTTACAGGTACCTTCAAGCACTCACTCTGCACATAATCAGTGGTAGAGCTTGCATGGGTAGCAATGGATACAGAGAGGAAAAACGTAAACAAGAAGAGGAAGAGCGAAAGAGTCAAGAATTTAGACATTCTAGGGGGGCATGAAAAAGTCATTGAGGAATGAATGTTATCGAAGTCATAAACAAGCGGAAAGAGAGAGGGAGAGAGAGGAGTGAGGGGAGCTGTTTAGGACATGGATTTTGTAATGGAGACGGGAGGAGAAGCGTGCGTGAGCATTTAAGGCAAAGATCAGGGTGGATGTTAGAGGGCAGGTAAGGGAATTTAAGACAAGGTTGTGACATGGGTCAAAATGTGTTACAGGTTTGAGTTGGGGTCTGTCATGGTGTCATTACTATTTTTATTTTTTATCATCAATGTGTCGGCGGTCGCACACAGTTCTTTGTTCTTCTGCCCAGTCAAATGGTCGAATCCATGAATATTTAAACAATCATATTGCCCTAAGTCATTAAGTTAATAACGAGATTCATTGAAATCGAAATTCTTGTCCTTCAATTATTTTTGTCAAAGAAGGGACGCTTGTCATGCCTTTGGTTTTGCTTTTCCATTGCTCCCCTCTTTCAAATGACGCATCACCCTTTTCGATCATTGTTACGCGTCGGTGCAGACCCGGTAAAGATTATGGTTCAACCGCCCGATCAATGGTTGACCCAATAGGCCAACGTAAGAAAAAATTATACCAAATTAGTTTCGTACCAAAACTTCTCTTTTTCATTAATTCATAAAACGTCTTTTAACCAACGAAATCCACCAAATCTATGAGACCAAAGACTCGTTGGTGGGACAATATCTCTTGAAAAGACCAATCATGCAGTGGATACGAGTCAACACTATCAATAAAATTAAAAATATTAATTTTTTTTAAAAAAAAATTAATTGGAACTGGAGAAACTAAATTACTATTTAAAATTTAATTTTTTAAGCATTTGGGAGAAACCATTTGAATAATATAACTTACCCAAAGAACTCAATCTCAATTCTTTAATTTATAATTATACCATAAAAATATATTAACTTAAAGATATCTCAATTGATATGTGTCACTTTATAAAAAAAATCAAAGGATACGTATTCAACTAAACACCTCGAACATATTATGACTACGAATGGAGCTTATAGTTCTTTTAAAGACTTATTAACATCTCGAAAAAAAACATTAAAGTTCCTACTTAATTCATATGAGAGAAAATCCATACCACCAAATATCTCAACAATAAGGAAGACAAAACTTTTAATAGAGTTGTCTTTCCAAGACTGTTGATACCCAATCTACACCCATTATGTTAATAGTAGTGTAAGAAAACAAGTCGTATTAGGAGAAAAAATGGCTTAAATTGGCATCTAAAACTGTCTACATCAAAAGAATGGTTGATTCTATCATTTTTACTACGTAACTTGTCAAGACCTCGACTATATATAAGAACTCTAATCACCAAGGATTCTAGGTGTTTAGTTTTTACATAACTCTTTATACTCTAAAAATAGAAATTGTTCATCTTTTTTATTACACACATATATAGAGATATTCTAAAAAAAAAAAAAGAAAACTCTAATCAAATCATCTTTTTTAACTTTTATCACTAACTAAATCATCGGATAATCTCTCAATCCACTAAAATGACATGTTTTATAGGTACATAATGCGAGAAGGAGTGAAACACACCATCGATCTATATTGCCCACCTTTGGTCATATAAAGCTATGTTATTTTATTTACTTAACAAGTTTTCTTTGGACTTGCCATCCGTGAAAAATTGTATGAAAAGCCAATTTCTCATTTCTCCCTATGATCTTCAAGCCATCTATAGATGAACAACTAGAAACTCTAGATCATGTGACCCTTATAGATTTTGCTAATTCCAACACTCTATTTATGGACATACATCAATTACATCACAACATTCAAAAACTAACGGACGTGTTCTTAGCCATCCAAACATAAATGAACACAATCATTCCACTAACAAACAATCCTCAACCACCTCAACCCAAAAAGACATGTAGGTAATTATCTTTTGAATTGGAAACAAAAATTGGTGAATGGCCTAAAAAAGAAAAGAAGGGATGCTCGAGATTTTCTAACCCTCAATCAAGTCACTTTCCCCTTGTAAGAAATCGTCATATAGTCAAAGCGTCAAGAGAAAAGAAAAAGGCCAAAGAATTTAGACCTCGTCATAAATGACTATGAGAGGATCTTAGGTCAAACACTCTTAAGTCTAAAAGGTAAATGATAGCAAAATCCTCACTCTTTCTATATGTAATGATCGTCAAACTCTCTAAAGGGTTTCGCCCATATAGGCAAACCTAAAGATGTATGGCGATCGAATGGACCCTCGAGAATATATGCAAAACATCAAGGGGATTCTTGAGTTCATAACTCGGGATGTAAATTCCATGTGCACAATCCTTATAACTTTTAGAGAAATGATGCAAAAATGGTACAATCATGTAAAATCCAAATCAATATGTGGTTTTGAAAACTTATCTTCATAATTAGTGGCACGTTTCTCCATCAACATCCCTCCCAATAAAAGATCATATAACTTTTTCTCCATCTCCTTAAAAAAAGAGCATGTGGGTGTATATTTCTAGATTTCACGAGAAAATGCTAAAAGTCAATGATTTTCTATAACTTGTCATTGTAAAAGCTTTTGTTGTTGAGATTTAAGATGTAGAGCTTTAGAAAGAACTCTACACACTCCTATAAAGGAAGTTTTCCTTAGTGAAAAAGACAAAACACCATCTTTAAGCATAGAAGGCTACATCGACCATACTAACTTCCTCTCAACCCTAGGACATGACTTCAAAAAAGTTCGAAAAAAGCTCTTCAAAACTGGAAGAAAATTTTAAAAACACCCATCTATAAAGACTTTGCTCCTTCTACACCACTAGCCACCTCGTTAAAAGTAACTTACACCGAGGTTTATGTTGCAATTCAAGATGAGAGCTATATTTTACATCTTTTCCCTATGAAGCCTACCTTCCAACATCAAGATATGAAGAAATATTGCCATTTCCACAAAAACAAAAGGCATGACACTAAGAATTGCTTTGCCTTAAGGAAAGAATAGAATTCTTGATCACCAATAATTATCTCAAGTAGTTTATAAATAAAGATAAAAAGGACTCTAGTGAAGCAAACCTATAGATGAAATATAACTCTCTCCCAAAGATCAACACGATCGTCGAGGGATCTCAATGGAGAATTTTTTATCGAGATCATAGGGAAATACTACTCGCTACCCCCTACAAACCAAGTCGAGAGCCTCAATCTATCCTCTTCTCTCCTAAAGTTAAAAGGTAATAATCTTCCATATGAGGTTGCCGTAGTCATGTTCATCAACATCTCTAACTATAAGGCATAAAGTGTATCGGTAGATGATGGAATCATTATCAACATCGTCTTATAAGAAGCCTTTAACCTCATGAAAATTAATGCCTTTAGGTTGTATTTTGACAAAGCCCTATTGGTTAGGATATATGGAAAAAGAGATGCTCGTCAAATGAGCCATCGACATCTTAGTAACATTGGGCACCACTCTAAAAGAAAACTCTCTAACAAATCTTGTAGATCATACCGATGAAGTTTGCTTACAATCCTATCATGGGTAAGCCTCTATTATGCGAGATAGGTGTTATTGTCGCATAAAATATTAAGCCATTAAGCTCCTAATAGAGGGTGGTATACCTATGGTAAAAGGAAATCGATTAGCCTCTCATGATTACACCTCCTTTTGTGTAAAAGGGAAAAAGGTTATGATGGTTGAAGATGAAGGGGTCAAAGCCAAAAAGAAAGGAAATGTAGACAAATGTAGGTAAAGGCCTACGGTTCATCCCATTGAAAGAAAAAAAATCATTACTCTTTAATAAAGACAGGATTAACCTTTATGTTCGACCAACATAGCACTTTATCAAGCTCCTCAAAATCTAAAACGATAATTTTTCCTTTTGTTCCGCCTATATGTCGAAATTAGCCCGGACATAGGCTTTCATCACTTAAATGTTAGCCTTTTTTTCCTTTGTATCCAAAAGAAACACAAGTTTAAAGAGAAAAACAAAAAAACCATTTATAAAGAAATAGACAAGCTCCTGAAGTGACTTTGTATGGGAAGTTATGTACCGAATGGTAGGGAAACATGGTCATAGTAAAGAAGTCCAATAAGGAATAAAGGATGTGCATAGAATTTACAAATCTTAATATAATCTATCCAAAAGACAATCTTCTCCACCTTAAAATTGATATACTAATAAATTACACTACCAATTTTGAATTTTGGGTTCTTTAGATGCTAATTCGAGATACCATCGGATCTTTATACATCTAGATGATGAGAAAAAGACTTTGTTTATCACAAATGAAGGCACCGACTTTTATAAAGCCATGTTTTTCATTATTTAAAATATAAGTGCCACATACTAAAGGATGGCATACAAAATTTTTAAAGGGTAGTTAGGCGTAAATATGAAAACTTACATGGATGACATGCTAGTCAAAAATATGTTTTCAAGCTCGTCTCCGAAATGTGCAAAAGATGTTCTCATTTCTCTATAATCATCGGATAAAACTTAACTTGAAAAAAATGTGCTTTCACCATTAAAAGAGGAAAAATATTGGATTTCTTAGTTAGTAGTCTAAGGATATAGCCCAACCTGAAAAAAGTGGAAGCCAACTTAGATATGTTACCTCCCCCAATCAATAAAAGAAGTTCGGAGACTTATGGGATGCCTAGCTACTCTAAATTGCTTCATGCCTCGATCGAGATAAGCGCACTATAAAGACACCAACTTTTAACTCTTTTTTAGTTGAATACATAAACTTTAATTTTTTTCATTTGAATATATTAATTTTTTTAAATTACTAATCAAGTACTTTTATCCATTTCATTGTTAAGTGATGACGTATCCATTACCCTCGAATACTAAAATTATAATTTTATCCTTTTTTTTTCAATTAGTACATAGACTTTAAATTTTTTTCATTTGAGTACACCAACTTTTTAAAAAATTTCAATCAAATACTTTCATCAATTTTTATATTAACTAATGTCATGTTTGTTACCTTCGAATACCAA